CAGGAATATTTCCTAACAAACTTAAAGTGGCCAAAGTTATTCCGTTACACAAAAAAGGACCAGTAGGTAATATAGAAAATTACAGGCCAACTGCACTGTTGTCAACTTTTTCAAAATTACTCGAAAAGATTATGTTTAAAAGACTTTATACATTTTTGTTAACAAATAATTCCTTAGCTTCAGAGCAATTTGGTTTCCGGAAAAATCATTCCACGTCTTTAAGTAAATTAAACATTACAAATTATATAGCGCGTGCATTTGATGAAGGGAAATTTTGTTGTGGGGTATGTATGGATCTCTCCAAAGCATTTGATACCATCGACCATCACATCCTGCTTAAAAAATTGCATTATTAATGTATAAGAGGTGTTCCTCTAGAATGGTTTAGGAGTTATTTATTAGAAAGAAAACAGTATGTGATGGCCGATGGTACAGATTCTAATTGTTTGTGTATAAATACGGGTGTCCCGCAGGGATCTGTGCTTGGGCCACTGTTATTTTTGTTGTACATTAATGATATTTTAAATTCCTCAAGTATTTTAAAATTTTCATTATTTGCTGATGACACTGCTGTTATTTCTTCTCATAAAGATATTAATATACTAATTAGTAATATAAATTGTGAATTAAGGAAAATAAGTGAGTGGTATATTTGTAATAAGTTGTTTCTTAATGCTGAAAAAGCCCACTATGTAATTTTTCATTCTAAACAAAAAAAGATTCCTAGTCATGTTGCCCCGGTGCGTATTAAAGATGATGTTCTTAAGAAAACTGATATTGTTGATTTTTTAGGTATCAAACTTAATGAATCACTTGACTGGTGCCACCATATTACCCATATTTGTTCAAAAATTTCAAGGGGGGTTGGTATCATGTCATTCTTTAAAAAGACGTTGCCGAAACATATATTATTAACTATTTACAACAGTATTGTTTTACCACATATCAACTACTGTAATATTATTTGGGGTAATACTTACAAGACTCAATTATATAAAATTCATATTCTTCAGAAACGTGCTGTTCGTATAATTTCTAATTCTAACTATATGACTTCAAGTGCTCCTTTGTTTTAATGATTTGAAATGTTTGCCAGTCTTTGACCTCATAAAATTAAACAATTTAGTCTTCATGTTCGATTTTCATAAACAAAAGCTCCCATCAATATTTAATAACATGTTTAAAACAAATTCTTTTTACCATTCTTACGAAACCAGAAATAAATCAAACTATCATTTCCCCCTTGTACGTACTTCCTTGACCCAACATACTTTAAGATTCCAGGGTATACATGATTGGAATTCCTTACCTTATAATTTAAAAAGTAGTTCAACCCTCACAAAGTTTAAATATTCATGTAAACAGTTCTTGTTTAAACAAATGATATGCACTGAGTAAAATTTTCTGTACAATATTCTTCCTGCGGTGTGTATTGGTGTGTCTGTGTGCATGTGTGCATGTGAATGAATGAGGTGAGTGTATGTTTGTTTTGATAAGTTTTACAATATTTGTTATAATAATTTGCTTGTATGATTATTTTTGTACAGGGCCCCATTCTCACAAGCTTGCTTTTCTTGGGGTCCTTCCGATTTTGCTGTTAATTTGTTATGTATTTTATTCTGAATTTTTAATGGAAAATAAATGAAATGAATATTCTCTTACGTGCATGTATTTCAAACCTCACCCATTTCCAGACTTTGTCCGTCCGTCTCAATTCATTGTATCCACCCCTGTCCATTTCCACCTACATTTGAGGAATATGTTGACCTCTTTTTAAAACATTGCTAGTTCAGGTCTTCCACGATGTTAATGCAGATGTATATCACCCCCACCCCCTCCCTCCCTCCCCTCCTCCGAAATCAAAAGAAGTTTTTGGGGTTGAACAAATAAATAAATAGAAAGGATGCAGGATGGCATCTCACAATACCATCCAAAGTGATAAAGCCGTTTGATGAACGTCAGTTTGCTTCAAAACTTAACTGAGATTTATTATACATCTTATTAAATTGATTTGAATATCATTATTGTTATTATGAATGTTCAGTAGTGGATTGGGGAAAAGGGAGGATGCAAAGCCCCCCCCCCCCCTCCCTGGAACCCCTGCCACGGCGAAAACGTGTGACTGGCAATTTACTTAACCAATTGCATGTTTGTTTGAAATTGTGGACACATGTGACACAATGTAGAACATTAAATCCTGAATCCACCACTGTGCCACACCATTGATGTGCAAGCACTAGAAAGCACTATCAAGTTATCTGAGATCCGAATAAAAAGCAGTTAGGCCTATACTTCGGAAGGGAACCTCCCTCTTATAGGAATGTGATTCAAGGGAATGGAGGGGGAACAGTCAGGGACTAATAAGTGAAAAGTTTGGGGAATTAATCATAAGAAAGGAATGGATTTTGAAAGTCGAGATCACTAATAATGAGGTTTTTAATCCATTTCGTTACCCAACGATCAAGGTAATGGTTTATATCAACTGTTAGGTGGCGCTCTTTTAAATAGGGGACACATCGATTGGAGTGTAGCTTTTGTTGGCCGATCACTACTAATGCATGTTATTAAGTATGTATACTATGATGGTTTGTTTGTATGTATGTTTGACTATCAGTATGCTTGATTGACTTCCCATTGGATTGTCCTGTTTTCGTTTCGTTTTGTTTTGTGTCGTTTTGTCTCGTTTTGTTTATTTGTGTGGTTGTTTGCTTGTTTTGCTCTCTCGCCCCTCCCTTTCATTAAATTTCAATAAATAATTAGAGAAAGAAGACGACTCGTTGTACCTTTTTCGACTCTTAATCCTTGTCTAAATTCAGTTTCTTTTGACGTTTCATTAAACTATTAGAGAAAGAAGACGATTCGTTGTACTGTTCTCGACTATTAATCCTTGTTTGAATGAATTTCCCCTTCCTCCGCACGTAACGCGGAAGCTCTGACGTTTCATAAATTTATTAAAGAATGAAGACGATTCGTTGTACCATTCTCGACTCTTAATCCTTGTCTGAATTCAGCCCCCCCCCCCCTCTCGCGCGAAGCGCGTAAGCTTTGAAGTTTCATAAAATTATTAGAGAAAGAAGACGATTCGTTGTACCGTTCTCGACTCTTAATCATTTTTTCTACGTCCTCTTCTTTTTTTTTGGGGGGGGGGCGACCGCCCCCACCGCCCCCCTGGTTACGCGCTTGTATAAGTTAGATATGAACATATGGACTAACTCATTCACTAAATCAATTAATGATGATCAATTTAATTCATTTTGATATGACCTTAATTCAACTTCAGCAATTTTAATGATTCATTTATAATGATAATAATAATATTTCAGTTTTATATAGCGCGTAAAGTCATCTACGATGTCTCAAAGCGCTTTACATATATACTATTACCCCGGTCATTGGATTCAATACTTGCCCGCACACACTGTGTGCACAATCTCCACTCCCCGGGGAGCATTTCAGCCAGGCGTTACTTGACGCTCAAAAAACTGTTTGACCAACAATGATGGTCATATCCTATACCGGGTACCCACCTGGAGAGGATCAAGCACAGGATAGGTGCTTGCTTTCAATTTCATAATTGAATCGTATCGTGTATCGTGCAATATCTCCCATATTTCTCGGATTGAAATCTGAGGAGTAACATGCCAGTTGGCAACAGGGAAGAATTTTCGCTTTTGTGAAACCTCTACCATATGCCATTCCTTATTTACACTGTATCTTTTATCTCCCTGATTTGTATAATACGAGCTGAATTTTTATGGCCAAATAATAATAATAATTTAATCAAATGGCAACCACCTGGCATGTCTGGTATAGATTTTATATCTAGGTTATTGACAGATAATGTTAACAATCTTTATTTTAAAAACCAAGTCACACTTGCCTGTGTTTGTGAGAATTAATTAATTTCCCTAAATTATATTTTTGTTGTTTACAAAGACTCTTTCAAATCGGTGATTGTTAACCAGCAGTTAGCAGAGCATCAAATAATCAAATTATTTTTGATAATGATTAGAATTAAAGGATGGAAACCAAATCTTTAAAGACAAATTAAGAACGAAAACTCATTGCCAGACATGTGTATCGGATCTTTTTTTAATATTTTACTCTTATTAGTATTAAAGCAAAATGTAGTATGATGGAAAACACAATTATGATTGGTTACAGTTAGCCTACCTCATTGTTAAGTTACAATTTTTCTACGAATAAAGAACAAATGAAATATCTGTTTCAGGGTTGTTGTTGTTGTTGTTTTGTTTTTCTTCTTTTTTCTTTGATGCAGATCTATGGTATTGTATCGAGTATCAAGGTTTGTCGATTTTTGTTTGAATTAGATAAAATATATGCTGTCAAATCAAAAAGTTTACTGCTGTCGATTATCAAGATCAGTGGTGCAGATGATCAAAATGACAGATCGCAATTTCGACATCTGACATCTCTGTCCCTTAAACACGGACCTCTAAAATGGGTACAACCATGCAATCAAAATCTTTGTTATTTGGAACAAAAGACAAAACTTTTCCTTAAGGCTTATTTTGTTTTTAAGTGTTTTCAACACACATTTTGTAAGATTAATAAGTTTGCTACTGTGGCGAAGCGTGGATCCAGGCAATCATTGAGGGGGCACTGCGTTCTAACACATTGAATGAGATGTCAATGTATATGTCTTATTATGTTCCTCTCAAGCTTGTTTACCTCTCCTCTATTCTTTCTTTCTCTTCCCTCTCCCTATCATTTTCGCAAATCAATCAGGGGCACAATCTTTCTGCTACGCTAATTTAACATGATTATGGACAAACAGAGATGCACTGTTAATATTTGCCATGTGAATGTTTAGTCATGTAATTAAAATGCGTTCAATTATTTACTTTTGAAAGTTGGCAAATAATTTTTACAAAATGAAAATTGGAAGTAATTTATTGCAAAACAAGGATATAATAATAATATAAAGGTATAATTTTGTATAAATAGACCAAGCACTAGGAATAGAATCCCATAGCACTTCTTATTCACCTGAATATCTATCAGTTGAATACTAAGATGAAGAGAGCCTTTGCAACAAGCGTCTTGTTGACCTGTTTGGTTGCCGGAATACTCGGCAAGCCATTAACTAAGGAGTCAGAAAAGGTATCCATTGGGACACAGCTTCGTTTATAATTTAATGATTAAGATATACCTCTCGAATAAGAAAATGAAAATCAGTTATCAACTGTTTTCTAGATTTTTGTTTCAGTAAAACATTTTCGTGTGACACGATTCCTTTTTCTGGTTAGTTTTTAGAATTTGTCAAGTTTTAGCCCATTCTGTCGATGATCAACGTCTGGCGCATAAAGTATTTTCAAACTATTTCCATGTTAAGCTAATGTCCATGGCACACGAAGCGTCATTTCTATTGCGTTATTATCTATTATAATATCGAACAATCAACGACGCGTGACGTTTAAAATGGTGTATGTAACGCGTTTACTTTTAAATGGTACGTCAAGTACCGCGCCAGTCACTGACGCAGTCAACTCGCATTACAATGTTCTGTGTTGCATTACAAGTTCTATGTTCCATTACGATCTAGGAACGTCCCATGAGGAAGCTGGAATTCAACGGACAAGTCGTTTACGTGCCCGTTGCAGAGAAATTGGCTGATCCATTCTCAAGCACGATACCTGGTGATGAACAGAAGACGGATATGATCCTGAACGAAGAACAGAAAGAATATATTCGGCAGCAGAAAGAGGAACACAAAGATGGACGAACCAAGAGGAAGGCTGTGAGGGATGTTTTGAAAAGATGGACCAAAGTCGGTGGAGACGTCATTGTGCCATTCACCATGGATAGCCCAGGTAAGTTTGAGTTTCGACTAAGACACGTCTTAAACTAAACAACAACAAAAACAACAACAACTACACCATTTATTTTCCATTTCTTAATTCCAATCCAAGTAACCTTACTTAAATGGTGGCCATTGTCTTATCAAAAGCCCATCACACACTATACGATTCAACTGCGACTCTATTTTCGAAAAGGAAAAATCGCGATTACATTGTGAGATTTAAACATATCCGATCTCCAGGATAGAGGTTCATTGTGATATTACGAATGTTTAAAATTACAATCCTTGTGTGGAGTAAAGGACAATTTAGCGTCTAATCGTAGAAAATCGAATGACAGGTCTATCGTCACTACGTGCCTGTGCCTGCAAGCTCAGTGTAGAAACAAATGCCTACCTTCCTCGTTTGCAGATGGACCCCCCCCCCAAACAACAACAACAACAAAAAAGGGAAAAACGAGAAAAAAAGGGAAAGAAATATTTTCTAGCTCACAATTTTCAAAACAATCGCAACTAATCTAAGCGATTTCAATGGCCTTGCGAATCACGTTTTGTAATGTGTGAACAGAACAATCACATAATAATCCAAACATGATTGGTAGGGGGTATGCAATGTCTTCTAGAGTTGATTTCTCGAAAGTCTTTGCAACCTCAAAACACTATTGATCTAACGTGAGAAGTAATACGCAAGGTTCGGCAGCTCAATTAATTTTGGACACCCCCCCCCCCCCATCCGGCCCTCCTTCCCCTATGTATCAGGAATATATAACATTGCCTTCACCTGATGATTTTTGTATTGTGAAACTAAACGTTATTAATAACAATTTTGTATGCAAACATTTATTGTGCATTAGCGACTTTTTAGATGATTATGATATTGTATCACATTTTCAACCCAAATCATAAATTCTTTGCATATTTCCTTTATCATGATACTCGTTATAGCTAATGATATACCATATATCTACGAAGCAATGGATCATTGGTCGACTAAGGCATGTGTGAAGTTTGAAACTTACTCTTCGGATCGTTCCTCAACACTGGGTCACAACCAGAGGCTTCGTTTCCATAAGGCGGATGGGTAAGAAGCGATAATTGCTTTTCTCTCCAGAGCTTTTCTAGAGCCGTTAATATAACCTCAACTTAGTACTATTTACGGCTGGGCGATTAAAAAAAAAATTGTATACATTTTATTAAAATTGTAAAATGTTAACATGTTTTTTTAATATTTTATTTTAATCAACAATATTTTTTTGTTGAAAATTTTGTTGAAGCAGGATATAAAAGAAATATACCCTGCCTTCTTTTGGAGCTCCTGGTTGAAACTATCAAGACAGTATATATTTGTATACTTTATCCATCATTTCAATTTAGTTAGCAAATGATAGGGTTTTTTGGCCAATAAAGTGATTGTACCCTCGTCGGTTAAAAAATTTAACATATTGTTTGCTTGTTGGCACTGATTTTCTTCAACTTTGTCGTCAGTGTACTTTTCTTACCACTGGTGGCAGATTTTGATTTGATTTTAATTGATGTTTATTTATTCCATTACATCAACATATTTTACATTTACAAGCATAAGCTAGTCCAAGAAAATTCATGAAGCGATTAATGTAGAATTAATTTTTCAACAGATCTTCTTTTTTTTTTAATCGGTGCTTTTCCTTCATGTTTTCATAATAAAAACAAGAAATCAACTCCGAAAAAATGGAGCATTCTCCCAAAGGTAATTAACACAAATTAAACAGACATTTTTTGTTGAAATTCGAGGAAAATATCAGACTTTTGACGACCTGTCCAAAATGAATACATTTCTTCGATTTCAGGTGCTCGTCATACGTCGGTAGGCAACCTACAAGCCAGATGCAACCACAGAATATATCAATTGGAACTGGGTGTTTACAGGTATCTTAAGCTATGGTCACATTACCTAAAAGGAGCCTGCTCGGCGGCCGGGCGGCGAGTTTTGACCCAATTTTGCCCAGGCCCCGAGCGGCGGCCGCCCGGGCACCGCTTGTTTTTAGGGCATCGCTCGGTCGCTGCTGAAGTTTTAGCGCGGAGTTAAAATTCGGGTGGCGCCTGCTCACTTTCACTCGCCGGCCTTTCACGTGCCCGGGCGGTCCCCGTCAGGGCACCGACTTAATCACCGTCGAGCGATTTAGGTCAAAAATCAAAGCCGCTAGGTCAAAGGTAGCCTTTTGACAAGGCCTCGTGACTCTGGCTAAGCGGCTGAGATGAGTCTAGATACCCGGAGTGAACGCGCGACCGAGTGACGAATGTCACGAGGGCTTCTCGCTCTCTCGTTCACTCGGGTTTTCGCGATTAGTCTCGTTTTAGTCGCTCGGCGTCTATCAGACATGTGGCCTTGTTTAAAGGCTAAGTCAAAAGCTGCAGGGTGTTCGCCGCTGTCGCCGCTGGGAGATCAGTCGGTCACTGGGCGGCGAGTTAAAAATGGGTCAGCAACCTTTGACCTAGCGGCTTTGATTTTTGACTTAATCGCTCGACGGCGAACGCTCGATTAGGTCGGTGTGCGGGCCGCCCGGGCACCGAGCGTTCCAAAAAAGGATTGCAAAAACATAAGTGGGACAATGATGGTTTTGCTCCCTTATTCAAACTCAAGAAATGAAGCGGTTGAAAGGTTGTAAATAGAAGACCATAGGAACGAAACATCTGTATAAAGCGAGGGGGAGGTAGGTCAGGGGCTACTTTCAAGTTATTTAATTTCCCTTCAGATTAAAAAAAAATAAGCTGCCTCAAACTCAAAGTCAAATTAGCAACTAATCAGAAAGATACCGGTACAAAATAATGAAATGCTATCCGTTATGGGGTATTATTGAACTTGAAGACGCTTAAAGACATTATTTGCACTTGTTTTCAGTTGGGAACCATCGCTCATGAGATCGGGCACGCAATGGGATTCCAACATGAGCAGTCGAGACCAGACCGCGACGACCATGTCGAAATTTTTTGGACAAACATCGAGACAGATCAACAACACAATTTTGACAAGGAGTCACTTGATGACGTTATGGCTAGCGAAGTAGTCAAATATGATCTCACATCTGTCATGCATTACGGACCATACGTAAGTTCATAGTCTCCGGATATTCGCATGCATTAAAAAAATCTCCATTCTTTTATTTTACAAAAGAATGATTTTGTTAATAAATAATTGTTAATATATTTTTTAAATAATTTGTATATATCGGTGACGTTCGAAAAACATGTTTCTAGGTTACCTAAGTGCCTCCCGATGGCCAATAAAGAACAATAGCTCGTAAGAACGTTTCGTGAAGCTTCATTTTCTCTTAGATTTGGCAAGACTGAATGACTGTCTTAGGCCATCGGTCGACTGGCCGGATTTCCTAAGAGTTGAAAACTGCTGCAATCTGAGGAACCTCGGAAAACCAAGGAGATTTGAGGCGAGCATCGACTCTCCTTGGTAAAACCATGGACCTACCACTGCTCTTATATTTTGGAGCCTGCAAGCGGCTAATATGGGGGAGGGGGGGGGGGTACCCGTACCTGAGCATACTTTGGTATCTGGTACTTTGGGAGGTCTTATGGGGGCATCGTCAGAGGTGAACAAGAGAACACAGATATCGAGTGGGGGAAGAGTGGGGAAGGGTGTTTATTAGGAAGTGGTCCCTTTTTATATATCGACCTCCCACTTTCTCTTTCTCTCATCATCTCTGTATCTTTGATTTGTTTGGTTTGTGTTTATTTCACCATTCAATTGGGGACATAATATGGACGGGGACCTAGGAGTCAGGGTGCTAAGAAGCTTCTCTTCCCATCAATAAGTAGGTTATATAGGGGGCTCCAGCTTAGAGAGAAAGGGCACCATAAAGGCGTGATAATTTGTCCACCTTTTCGCATGCTTGTCAGTATTATGAAAGAAAAATGCATCCTTCAGCACCTTAATGAAAGAGTCGCTTCAAGATAGCCTATATGCTCTTTTCCAAAAGCACTGGTGAATTCCGGCTACTAATTGATATATTTGGTAAATTATTATATCTATCCGGACTTGATGAATATAGTGTAGTCCCATATACATCTTTCTGTTTACAGTACTTGTAACTCTACCAAGACTGGGCCAAATTTCTTATCGTTTTAATGATTCAAGAACCTTGCAGTACACACCAATACTTGCTAGATGACCAACCTTTTCTGATCGATTCCACGTTTCTTTCACAATGAAATCCCATGACCAGAACTAGTCTATACCTTTAAAATGGGTGGTACATCTTGAAATCAAAATGTAAATCTTCGTTTTCATCTTCTTTTAAAATACACCTGTATTGGTATATTCAAAACATCTCAAGGACTATACTCCTGGTTAATATCAATCATTTATATCGCCACACAGGGATTCGCCATCAATGAAAACATACCGACGTTGGTAACAAAGCGACCATTCGACATGCAGTACATCGGTCAAAGGTCTGGTCTCAGTTTCTACGATGTCAAATTAGCAAACTATATCTACAACTGTAATTCTACTTGTGACCCCCTTCTGGACTGCGCCAACGGAGGCTTTGTAGACAAAACATGCACATGTCAATGCCCCCCTGCTTGGACGGGGGCGCTCTGCAACGAAAACTCAAATGTACCCGAAACAGGTGAGTTGCGTAATACTATTTAGTAGTACGCTGGGTACAGTTTTGCCTTTTGCCGAGGGGGAGGGGATGGGGAAAGGGGGGGGGGGCGGTGACGCATTTTACCCGTATATCAAATCTTAGTTGTCTAAATTTGGCAACAACAATAACAATAAACATGACAATAACAGAAACAACAACAAAATGATTTATCAAAGACGGGTGTTATTTCCTCATCTTATAATTTAATAAGCCAAAATTATGTATTTAGGAAAGATATTCAGGCACCTATATTATGCCTGAATTTGGAATTAAAACTAAAGAACAAAAACTGAACACCAGCCTTCTCGCCTCATAATTACCTTCAATATGTCGCTCGGGCCAGCAATATTACAAAAGAATACCGTTGTGGGCCACTGAATGTTACATACCCATGCTTCACCTGGTGGTGGAATGTTTTCACAACAATTTTCCTATTCATGGATAAGTTTTATACTTCTTTATTCTTGTTTGACGTAATAATGATTTTGTTTGTTTCAATTCAACAGTGATGACAGATAATTCGAGCGAGCAAATCGAACTAGTAGATTTTGATGCTTTTATTCACATCAGCAGACATTGATACAGGATTACGAATCCACTTAATTGCAAAATAAAGAGAACTGATCATGTTATTATAGTCTTTAAAACAAATCATAAATCGATGACCAGGCATAATTATGTTCCTGCAACAATTATTTCCGGATTTATTGACAGGTTTAGAGTAAGGTTTACCGTGTTGGGTCTAAGGTTGACGTGAAAAATTGGGGTAGTTTAGGAAAGTGACGCGGATCATGTCATCCAAACTATTAAACTTCATCATAATATACCTCACTTAAGAAATCCAGGAATCTGATTGGTCGAAATTGGAGTCGTGATTTTAGCCATTTCCGTTAAGGAACGAAAATGACCAAACTGGTTAATAGTCTAAGAGTAAGATCCCTAAAAATTCCGGTTACCATGCAAATGATTAAATTTTGCTTCGATACCCATTGGTTTACGTGTAAAAATGTTCTTTGAGCGAGCGCGGACACCATACAGTGCTTTTTGTCTGCGATTCCCAACTGATCGAAAATTTCAGTCTTTTTTCCAGCAAACATAAATAGACAGTTTCACAGACTTTCCGTGATGTTTTAACCAATCTTTTCGAGAACTTACACCTCTTGCCATGACCCAGAGGCGCGCCGCCCACCCAGGGCCGCCTCTGGGTCATGGCAAGACGTGAGTGCGTTCTCTTGAGCCTATGAAAAGCTAGGCCTCTCGAAGCAGCCGATACCTCTAAACTAATGAACAAGGTTCATAGCGGGGCGGTATCTTCACTTCTATCCTTCGTGTTAACCAACCCCTGCATAAATGTTTCACTATGAGCCATTATTCTTTTCTATAAAATTGTATTAATCAAACCCCGACCATGATACGTCATATTATATGATGTCAACTTAACATTCTCTTTCTCTCTGCTCGTTCTGTTTAATATACTGTTTTTATTTTTCTCTCTCCTTCTCTCTCTCTCTCTCAAAGTTACTGAGATCACCAGAACTGAGCCATCTGGGGAGATCACATCCCCTGACTATGAATCTGGACAGTACTCCATAAACTCAGCCAGCATGATTTATATCGTTGTGAGTTAAATTATCTCTGTCTTCTTCCTGCCCACCAACCCGACTCTAAACCGTCTCCAAAATGACCGATTCCTGGCCATTTGTAAGGATGTAATATTTTACGCGGCCTGTTGTCTATTATGCAGATGGTAGAAGAATTATTAAGAAAAGATCACGGTAGAGTATAACATGTAATTAGGAGTTAGAATTTCCACTCTTTACTTTCTAACACAAAAATTATCCTGAAGGAATTTAAGCATATTTATTGTTTATGTGGCAACGCTGGAAATATTACGACTAAATTGTTGAAAGCTAGCCTTGTCTTTAATTTCAAAGGGCCAACCTGGAGCTACGATTACATTAACGTTTGACGCATTCGATATGGAAGCTCTAGACGGTGGCAGGTGTTGGGACTACGTTCAGGTCAACAGTGATGACCCGCGATACGGAGGAGAGAAGTATTGTGGAAACGAAATACCAGCCCCAATCGTAGCAAAAGATAACATAATGATCTTGTTCTACTCCGACGAAACATATACCGGCAAGGGATTCAGGGCCCATTTTACTATTGATCAACCACTAACAGAAGAACCCGTCGTAACTACCAGAGCACCAACCACACCTGGAGTAACTACCGAAGCACCAACCACACCTGTCGTAACTACCAAAGCACCAACCACACCTGTAGTAACTACCAAAGCACCAACCACACCTGTAGTAACTACCAAAGCACCAACCACACCTGTCGTAACTACCAAAGCACTAACCACACCTGTAGTAACTACCGAAGCACCAACCACACCTGTAGTAACTACCGAAGCACCAACCACACCTGTTGTAACTACCAAAGCACCAACCACACCTGTAGTAACTACCGAAGCACCAACCACACCTGTCGTAACTACCAAAGCACCAACCACACCTGTAGTAACTACCGAAGCACCAACCACACCTGTAGTAACTACCAAAGCACCAACCACACCTGTCGTAACTACCAAAGCACCAACCACACCTGTAGTAACTACCGAAGCACCAACCACACCTGTAGTAACTACCGAAGCACCAACCACACCTGTTGTAACTACCAAAGCACCAACCACACCTGTAGTAACTACCAAAGCACCAACCACACCTGTCGTAACTACCAAAGCACCAACCACACCTGTAGTAACTACCGAAGCACCAACCACACCTGTCGTAACTACCAAAGCACCAACCACACCTGTAGTTACTACCGAAGCACAAACCACACCTGTAGTAACTACCAAAGCACCAACCACACCTGTCGTAACTACCAAAGCACCAACAAGTGAAGGTATACCAAAGAGTTCTTGTTCTCTTTTCATCATGGATGCCGAAACTTTTCAATTGTATAATATAGAGTATAGTAGGTACACCCTCTTAGACCGGTCAGATATGACGCGGTAAACCGTACGAAAAAACGAAGGAAAGAACGCCGCGTTAGAAAAGAATGAATGGCAACTGCGAGCTACAAACGTGACAAATTTGAAGCTTATTACACTATTACACGCCATTATGATTTTTTTTAATTGCCGCGATTTCCGCTGCATATCTGAACGAGGCTTCAGAATTCTAGATACTGGATTATCTTCCTATTTATGAAGAATAACAATTCTACTGAATTACTTCCTGGGCTTTCAAAATGGTCTTTAAAATGTAAATCCTGAAATACAAGTACATGTACTCTGTATAGTGTGTTTGAGCCCAGGTATGTGTCGGTACAACGATTCTCAAATTACACAACGGGGGAATGCCTATGCCAAACAAATCATGTGTACCACTAGATTGCTGACAAAATCGTTGCTTTCTGAACATTTATTTCAATATTTGATCAGGTAATCCAAAATAGAGAGCACACTAATAGTATGTGTGAGTTTAAAATCGAATGACAAGGAATAATTATTTTCACACTGCTAAACCGAAAGATTATTAGCCGATCGGGATAAGGTAATTTTGTGTTTGGAGTGTTGTCGATGTGATTATTATATACGTGTGTTCGTATATATATTTATATATAAATGTGAAACATATTATTGACATCATCATCATTAACGTTATTATTATTTGTATCTTTATTATCATTTGTATTATTATTATTATTATTATTATTGTTATTGTTCTTGTTGTTATCATTATCATGGAAATATTTGAGGGTGTCTTTTTACAAGGGGGTGGGGTGGTTGGGCAATCCGACACTAAATGTATTCCCATACATCCACAGCCCTGTCTCCATAAACATTAACGATTAATCGTAAGTCATCCAATCAATCGTAAACTTTTACAAACAATTTTCTCTTTAGTACAGAGCAGCGATCGGTTTGAATCACATGCAATTGTTTATAGGGTGAGGCACAGAAGTACATTTATCAAATTACCATTGTTCATTTTCATTTTCTCCCTCAGCGCCACTGAGTACCTTAACATCCCCAAACTACCCGAATACTTACAATGCGTGGCAAAAGAAAGTCTACCGCCTTACTACTGCTGTAGGCAAAAAGATTTATCTAAAGATCGATGAAATGGATATTGAAGAGGGCAGTAATGGATGTAACTATGACGTCCTTATCGTCGATCTCAGAGGTACTGACGAGGTTTTGAAAACAAGGTAAATAAATCAAGTTTAGATGCATTAAAGAATAATGATTGTCTCGCAAATGTTAGTCTAATTTGATCCGAGTCGGTTGGATTTTTTAGATAATAATAATTCTAAATGTAAAATCACTTCCCTTCCTCTCCCAAATATATAATAATGATATAATGGCAAAGTTGAATTGAGAGGGGCCTTATGCCATGATATCACGGATGACATCGTATTTTGGTGGTATATTTCAGACTTTGTGGATCCAGGACTAACGTTGGTCCATTCGAATCCGTGTCGAACAAAATGAAGCTGACACTCATCACCGATGGATACATAGAGAGGAAAGGCTTCAAGGCATCCTACAAGAGTATCACAGAATCCACATGCGGAGGAACCTTCGCTGGGGAGTCCGGTATAGTCGAGTCACTTAACTACCCCATACACTACCCTAACCAGATACTCTGTGATTACGTCATTCGGGTAGATCCTGGAAAGGTCATTAGGTTGACATTCAGTGATTTGGACGTGGAATATGGACGTAATTATCTTTGCCAGTATGACTGCCTAAAAGTGATTCAACTGAACCAATATGACCAGGAAGAGACTCTATTGAGGTATGTAACTTACGTACAAACAAACATACTAACGTAGCTAGCTGAATAGCTAACGAACGAGCTGTAACTAACTAGAGGTGTCGTGGTCGAGTGGGTATGTCAGCGGACTGTGGATCACAAGGTCTGCGGTTCAAGTCCCACCGCGGGACTAATGTCCTTTGGCAAGACATTAATCTACATTTACCACTCTCCACCCAGGTGTTAAATGGGTACCCGGTAGGATGCGAAAGCTAATGTGGTTTGATTAGCAATGGCGCTTGTAAAATGGCGACTGGCTGGAAGGCTACCCAGGGAGTGGAGAATGTGCATACCTTGTGTGCGTGTAAGCATGAATCCGATGACCGGGGTAATAATATATATCTGTAAAGCGCATTGAGAGGGCCTGCGGTCCTGAAATGCGCTATATAAGGACGAACTATTATTATAACTATTATTATTATTAACGAATTAGCTATCTTACGCGCTAACTAACGAACGAACTAACTTCAGTAGCGTATCAAGGGATTATGGCGCCTGGGCAAACTTCAAAACAGCTCAAAAATACACTTCAGATTTTCTCGTATTTCCTCGAAATTGGTAAACGAATTTTGTTTGAAAACTAAACAATTAGATGTGGGAGCAATTCGACAGAGCAGAATAAATGTTAGCTTTAAAATAATTCACCCCCTCTCGGACACTAACCACTCGGACAACTACTCCCACCCCTCCCTCCCTCTCGTACACTAACCACTCGGACAACTACTCCCACCCCTCTCTCCCTCTCGTACACTAACCACTCGGACAACTACTCCCACCCCTCTCTCCCTCTCGTACACTAACCACTCGGACAACTAATCCCCTCCCTCCCTCTCGTACACTAACCACTCGGACAACTTCTCCCACCCCTCCCTCCCTCTCGTACACTAACCACTCGGACAACCACTCCCACCCCTCCCTCTCGGGCACTAACCACTCGGACAACTACTCCCACCCCTCCCTCTCGGGCACTAACCACTCGGACAACTACTCCCACCCCTCCCTCCCTCTCGTACACTAACCACTCGGACAACTACTCCCACCCCTCCCTCCCTCTCGTACACTAACCACTCGGACAACCACTCCCACCCCTCCCTCTCGGGCACTAACCACTCGGACAACTACTCCCACGGTCCCACCCCTCCCTCCCTCTCGTACACTAACCACTCGGACAACTACTCCCACCCCTCCCTCCCTCTCGGACACTAACCACTCGGACAACTACTCCCACCCCTCCCTCCCTCTCGTACACTAACCACTCGGACAACTACTCCCACCCCTCCCTCTCGGGCACTAACCACTCGGACAACTACTCCCATCCCTCCCTCTCGGACACTAACCACTCGGACAACTTCTCTCATCCCTCCCTCTCGGACAATAACAACTCGGAAAACTAATCCCACCCCTTCCTCTCGGACATAACTAATCGGACGAATCTCCAGACAACCAATCCCGTATACAACTGATACCTCAGTCATACCACCAGACCGATTCCAAACCGACAAATTTTAGGCCATTGCTAATGTAATTGTTGGTTCGGTCTGTTGTCGATCACCGGGTTTCATCAAGCCTTAATTTTTTTTCTCAAATCGGAATCATTTTTCGTTGATGAAACACCCTCCTGGTGTCGGTTTCGTTCGTACGACTGAAGTATGAGTTTACCAGAAGTCTTGAGATCAATCCAGAAAGATCCGGATCAATAAATTGCAAGTTTTTTTTGTGCAACTTTATATATTTTTATTCAAGACCCATATTCTCATCTTTTGATTGGTGTCATGCAAGTCATAAATAATCACTGTCAACTGATTGGGAACTATAATGGACGGAAATTTCACACTTAAGCTCTTAATTGATTAAACGATTTATAAATAATACACATTGTAATAGAACTTCGATAAGGAGATCAGCAAAGCAGTACACTCTATTTTGTATTATTCTATATTTATAATGCAGCCTGGAAGGGGCGTATCCACCATTCCCAATTGTGTCTCGGACCAACCAGCTCACTCTTCGCTTATCATCTGATGCGTATGTTGGAGGCAAAGGTTTCCAGGTTTCATATCTTGCTATCTAATTCCTCAGTCACATCTTCAAATCGACTCCAAACTGACTCTAAACCGACCGGTTTTTACTCCATCATTATGACCATGCGGTCGGTCTGTTCGCGGTGTGGAGTCGGTCTCGCTGGTGTGACTATAGGGTATTGATAAACATGGACATAATAACGAGCAGACTTTCATCATTTCTTCTTAACTGTTGAACGATTAATTGTTTAAGCTAAATTATATTTGAAATTCTATTCTGTACTACCTTATGAGGGCATTTAGATATTTTAGAAGAAGAGAATATTGCTACTTTAAAGAGGATTGATCTTTCATGATAACATTAGTCTGAGTGGAAGAGGAAACGAAGTATTGAACAAAATGACAAAAATATGGTATTAAAAAAAAAGCTCTAAATCTTTTTAGTAGGCAAGAACAAATAATCATCATGAAGAAACTCCGAGCGAAAATTCAGCCATGTTTGATATCATAAACGGAGACCAATCCTTAGATTTATTGTGTAAATCATTTTCAAATTCATTTAAATATACCAATACTAAATTCGTTATGAAACACATATATTTCACATGGTGTTTTAAAGATAACATATTGTTATACCCTCTTATGTGAAATATAATCACTCTATCATAAAATTAAGAATGATAATAATGTTGTAGTAGTTCTATATAAATAAACAAAATATGTCGGCTTCTCCTTGAATGACGTCACACGCCCGCGTTGCCAAATGGAAGATCACTATAGCGCTCATTACTTTCAAAAAAATAACTTTCGACTGTCTTATCCCATACATGTCTTTTCCTTGAATTCAATTCCTCTTCAATATTTTACGTCGTAAGATAGTATTGTGTCCTCTGTTCACTCTAAACCATGACAAATTGTAAATTTTACCCCAGAGTGGGCAGATTAAAAAATATGGCTATTATTTAGAGTGTGTATTCATTTCCTGTTTAAATATCTGTTTGTCGTACTTAGTTTCTAATATAAGTAGTCATGCCATTCGTTGGTGAATTAAGTTACAGGTCATCAGAATCAATGTAATAATAGCGAGTATTGAATAAATAGTTATTGAATGAAAATATCTTTTGTCTATTGGTATTCATTCGTCTGCTGTTTGGACATTTTTCTATGTATGGCTTGCGTTTTGCTCATGATACAGTTCGTTTGTTCATGCAGGGACATGGAAACCAATTTTCTACCATATCAACATTATCCTCAGTCGATAAGAGCAGCATTCTAAATGGTGGAAATTGTTATCTTTACAATAACTTCACTTTTTATGTCCATGCCCTCTCAAATAATTGCCTCGCGGATTTTCGTCACTTCGAATTAGTGTTCCAATAGGGCTGAATTTTGATCATTGTTAAACTCGTAATCCGTTTTGTTCACTATTCTTTAGCGGCGGAGATTATTTTTTTCTCTTTGATCTACGTTATGGTAATATAGATTATTCCACTGAAATCGGCGCAATGCAGCTATCAAATTTAGTCTATGAGATTTTAGTGTTCATTGTTGTGTGATATAACAATGCCTGTATAATCATAAGGTCATGCCCATATTGAATATATAGGGCGGAACTAACACCGACATTTATACGATATTTAGATGAATAACAACAGCATTTAGAAATGCGATTTTATAGAATAGTCTCGCATGAAAAGGAATTATAAATTTGCATCAGTGGTTATTCACAGGCGCGGTTCGAGATTTGTGTGTGTGCGTGTGTGTGTGTGTGTGTGTGAATAAGACAGACAGACACAGAAAGAAAAAGTGAATAGAGTGATGAGTGAGGAAACTGTATAAGAGATGCATGGTTTTTGGAGTTTTTTTTTTTTGAATGACTCAGAAAGGGCGGTGTTGCAATAATAGTCAACAAAATAATGAGTGTTGTGCCCTGATTTTCAAAGAAATGTGCTATTCAGAAAGAGCGGTTTGCACGAGTTGTATGAGGACTGTAAATCCACCTGTACGTGAATATAGTGTCTTATTATAAGATGTCTGACCAAACGGCGTTGAGGCAGGACGTTTTGGGCCGAACGGGAAAGACTGGGTGCAGGCGGAATATTTTACCTACCCCCTTCCCTTTCTCTTTTACACACACTCTCTCTCTCTTTCTTTCTTTCTCTCCCTCCCCTCTATCTCTCTCTCCCCCATCTATTTTCTCTCTCTCTCTCTGTAGTCTCAAGCTTCGCAATGAGAATAGTTACGTTGATGGTGTGTGGGCGGAAAGGAAAGGGGGTAGGGTGGGGTTTAAACGTTTCTTACACCCACAACAAAAAGTGAGTCACCCTTACTCAAATTGATGAGTCACTGGTTTGTCCGTACAGCGAAACACTTGAAGGATCATGTGAGTCATTATGACTCGATACAAGTGAGTCTTAGATAAATAAGACTCATTTGTATCGAGTCATAGTGACTCACATGATCCTTCAAGTGTTTCGCTGTACGGACAAACCAGTGACTCATCAATTTGAGTAAGGGTGACTCACTTTTTGTTGTGGGTGCATCATGACATAGACCCCCCTACTCCCTAGGCCTATCACACACATACCATACCATGCCAGAGTCACTGTCCACATTTGCAATGGAAAATATATCCTAAAATATCACATTTTAGCGATGTAATCGGTGGTCCCGCTACCCGAATCTGAAAAATCTACTTTGTACGCACTAAATTAAGCCTTAACTTGAGATTTATTTGTCACCCATACTGTCACGAAACAATCTTGAATTAATTCGTTTTACATCAAATAACAAGGATCTAGGAGTTTCGTTGTATAAAACAATGATGCAAGATCATGCATGTTTTCATTCGACACGGCTTCGTGCGATACAGTAGACACTATGAATATGACAGACAATGAAAGCGGACAAAATATACAGTTCCTCAGGTAGACAAAGGGACATCCCTTCACTGCTATTATGTAAAAATGTGTAGAACAGGTGTCACATGCATATTCACCCGTTCTACACATTTTTACATAATAGCAGTGAAGGGATGTTCCTTTTTTTTCCTGAGGAACTGTATATTTTGTCCGCTTTCATTGTCTGTCATGTTCATAGTGAGAATCTATAGTTAAGTTACACACAGCCTCATCAACTCGAGTGCGGATATCGTAAAATGAACGCATGCATCATTTGTATACTAATCAGAAGATTCAGCCCACGAATCCAGTCATAAAAATCATCGTTTAAAACCATATGAATAATTATGCGTACCAATTTTTCACTAGCTGCAGTCAAAACTCTTCTGAATCCAAGATATAAGATGGCGACGTCGCGTCGTCGATCGGGAATTCAAATATGGCTCGAGAATGCGCATTTTGGATGACGTCACGAAAGCATGCGCGCGCATGCATACAGCCTCACTTTCAAGTTGACTCACTTTTTTCTTCTAAAATGCTCTTATGTCGATCTTGACTCATTTTTTACGACCATGTGAGTCAGTCGAAGCATTTTGCAAATGCGTCAGCTCATGATTGACACACTGGTGAAATATAAATGAGTCAATAGAGACTCATTGGTTGTTACTAATGAGTCAATTTACACCCTGACTCACGAAAATTATGCTTAAATGTGTCAAATGACTCACTTTTTGTTGTGGGTGTATTGTTACGTACCGGGGAGTGTGGGAAGGTGCATTCTCAAGTCAGGCGGGAAATTTAAAATGAATGAAAATTGGGTCCCAGTGATGCAAAGCTTGGGGTGAGTCGTAGCTGATATTTTTACGGGAGCTCCAGGGGAGGGAGTGAGGGTGGTGTGGTAAAACAAAAATGGAGGGGGTAGCGGCGCCTGTCGTCTGTTAGCTCCATTCAATTATTTCTTTATTTATTTAGATATATCCCTGATAGAGTACCTATTATTCTCAAGTATATTGGAAGCTCTGTTTCTAGTGTAATTAAGACTGCAGAGCCACGAATTATCTACTGCTTTTGTCCTAAAATCAAAGACAAGCATCAGTGGGCCCGGTCAGCACTCGGAGGGGAAACTGCCTCTCATTAGTAATCATGATTTATTTAATTTTTGTTGGTGTCTTTTTGAAATAGAGAATCCCTTTTGGTTGAAACTTTAGAGGGAAACCCAACCTTTATTGCAAAGTACTCCAGAGGAAAGGGGAAATCTGAGAAGCAGACTTGTGAAAATTGGAATAAATTGGAAATTTGGAATCACTATAGGTATACACTCTTTAATTTGGCTGAATTTGTTATATCTATCATGTGGCGAACAAATTTCCTATAATTTTAATCACAAAAATGACTGCAACTTCAATTTGTTGTTGTTGTATGTCTCAGGATGGTCTTTTCTCTTTAAAGGACCCATGATAATATTCTTTATTCCATAATATGTTTTAAGCAGTGGCCCAAGGGAGAAGGCACTTAAAAGAAAAACAGAAATTAATGGTATTTGTGTACACGACAAACGTGAGATTTATCTGCGACTACGTCACAATCCACTGACCCAGAGCCGTCTATAAACAGAGTTTGGTCAAGCCGGTTCGAGTTGGTCACAATATGGCGACTACTGCTTTGTTGGGCAAGCACAAAACAAAAGAATATACGCCATGTTGTGACCTAGTGAAACCAAGTTGGCCAAACTATGTGTATAGGTGGCTTTGTACTGACCTAACTGATAATTTGAGATTCGCATAGTCTTCGTGATACACAATGTACCATATTTCAAACATTCATAACTCTTTATTGATCAGATACGTTTCCAGACTTTCGCCCTTCCGAGTTTCTTATTTTTCTGCTTTAATGTATACAAATGAACTTATTTTAAGGGTTACATTGCCCATTAATTAATTAATTATCTTTCAGTTCCTTTGAGAGCGTACTAAAGATGACATAATGTTTACAAAATAATCATATCAATTAATGTTACATAATTATGACAGTGTTTTGTTGTTGTTGGTATCTTTAAAGAGTATTTATGGGTGAGTCCAATCTAATCGGATTGGGTCCCAGGTATATTTTAGAGAGGCATTAGTTACTGGCTCAAAACATGGACCTAACACAAACCTAAAATGCAGGGCGACAAATATAAAACTTGGTTCGGCTTATTTCATGCGACTGGTCCAGGAAATGCCAGTCCAAAACGTGATAGTTTTGAAATTATTTTAAACCTGGAATTCCTTTTGAAATAAACCGAAATTTTCAATGATTCATCGTCTTCTTCTAATTTGTGCATTTTGTTGTCTATCATTCATCCATCCTTTTAGATTTTAGATTTTTTTTCTCCCCCTTCTGTTCCCGTGGTAGCGCCTAGCTTCATTCATCATCAGCAAAGTGCACGTAATTTAAATCGACATTACGATGAAACGTAAACGTATTCTCTCATTGGCTAAAAAGTTTCAAAGGGGGGCGTGGTCTTAACCCGACTTTATACACCTGATCATTTTACAGTATGTTGTTCATGTATTTTTCCTTTAAAAAAATAAAAGAAAAAAAGAAGAAAAAAAAAAAGGAGGCGGCCCCCCAAAAGGAAGCGGGCGGGGTCGCTAAACATGAATATTTTTTTTTACATGGCCTTAGTTACTGGCTCAAAACATGGACCTAACACAAACCTGAAATGGAGGGCGACAAATATAAAACTTTCAAGTTAGTCTTATTTCATGCGACTGGCCCAGAAAATGCCTGTCCAAAACTTGATAGTTTTGAAATAATTTTAAACCTAGAATTCTTTTTGAAATAAACCGAAGTTTTTAATGATTCATCGTCTTTCACTAATTTGTGCATTTTGTTGTCTATGATTCATCCATCTTTTTAGAGATTATAATTTTTTTCTCTCTTTCCGTGGTAGCGCCTAGCTCCATTAATTAGCAGCAAAGTGCACGTAATTAAAATCGATATCTTGAATGAAACTGCAGATCACATTACAATGAAACGTAAACGTATTCTCTCATTGGCTAAAAAGTTTCAAAGGGGGCGTGGTTTAAAGGAAACTCCTTCCCCCGACCTTGCTCAATACATCTGATGCAAAGTCCTGCACTAGCGAACCGACGTAACTTTACACACGAACATAGTATGCTGAAGAAGCGGGGTTCTATCTGACGAATTTCATATGCGACCAGCTGTTCGGA